CGAAAACGTCAGCTCAACTCATATCATTGTGGGAAAATTCTACTACCAGTCATTCATCACCTTAGACGAAAAAGAGTGAATACATCTGATGTTAATTTTCACCAAATATGCCGTCTTCCAAATTATTTGTTTATTCTGAATAATACTTAGGATTTGGCTTTCATTCAAGATAAACTGCGATTTTGTATTTTAGTGTGTTCGCCTTATTGAATGCAGTCATACTCTAAGACATAAGACGCATTCACCCTATTTCGTCTAATTTGATGAAAGACTGCTAATTAAATTTCCCCCCAAGGATATTAATAGAGCTGAAGTTTCCATTGAATTTCACATATTCATGCTTTTCCAAAAGCTGTTTTCATCCATGCTGAAAAGAAATGCAGTCTAGACTTCATATAAGCCTTATCACTATCTCCAGCGGGATTCGAACCAGGACAGTGCAGCGTGTAATCTCGACACATTAACCACTACACCGCATCTGTACTGCGACCCAAGGGCACTCTTGGAAATGTGACGTGGCGGTTAACGTGTCGAGATTGCATGCTAGACGTTCATGGTTCGACTTCCTCTGAGGGTGTTGATAAGGCCTATATGAAGTCAAAACTGCAGTCCATTTCAGCCTGGATGAAAACATCTTTTGGGAAAGCATGTTTATCTGAAATTCAATGGAAACTTCAGCTCTATTAATATCATTGTGGGAAAATTCTACTACCAGTCCTTCATCATCATAAACGAAATAGAGTGAATACATATCATATAACCGATTTACTGGTAGTCTCAAAACTCTAAGATATAAATTTTTAGAAAAACTAGTCGCCTTGGGAGTCATATCTGCTTTGTAATCTACCGGTGCCCTTGACTATGTAATATGAGTGTCAGTGTTTCGCCTTGACAAATAAGACCTTGTTTCTAATCCCTCTATGGCTACCTATACCATATCCCTCTATCTGCCCCATCAACATCACAACTTATGACTTGCTTATCTGCACACACACTTCAAAATTGTGGCCGTTTTCCCCTGGATGTATTGAGGCCTAATAAGACTCCGTTTAAAAGGGGAAACCTTTGGCGTGTGTAAAAATAAGCAAATTAGAGGGTGTGTTAATAAGAATTTGGGTTAGGTGGATGTACCAGGATAGAAAAAGAGAAACCACAACTGTTCAGCAGAAGTTGGTCAAGGGATGGACCCTACTTGTCTCATTTACGAGTTTTAACTTGGTACTATGACAGGAAAGATTAATAGACAATGCCGTCTAATAAGACGGCAAAGCATCAAAACCTCTACCAAGTACAAGGTACGAAGCTCAATCATCATGACCATGCATGGCAGATGACTCCACACAAGTTGCTTTTATCTTGGTCACCCTGCCAACACGACGAAGTTGAGAAAAAGTTAAAGCCACTCTTTTTTCCTTCATACAATTAAATGTCTTATGTTCATATTAGAACTTTATTTGAAAATCGAAAAATTTGTTTTTAAAAGTGTTTTTATTAAATTGCTTTAAACGCAATCACTAATTCACATATTTATCTCTGATGATTACCATTCTAATCGACACTTTAATCTGAATAATCTCAGACTTGTGATTTACCTATCAGCCTTCCTCTAAATCCGGCTCTTTAGTTCTTATGGAATAGAATCTTCTGAAGCTAGCCAATGATGTTCTGTTTAAATCTGGCCTGAAATACATTCGGGTCAAGTTTTCATGTGCGGTGGTCCGATAAGTGGTTCCAAAGTCCTTGCTTCGACGTCTATCTCTTGGAAACCAGCTCTACTCGCCATGTAGGTAGCATGTACATTCGAGTTGGTTAGAACTGTCTAATTTGTATGTTCATTGCCTTTCAGCTTGCTGTGATTAAACTGCATTGTTGGAGCGATTTTCATTTCGTCTTAAAGTGTCTGATGCAGAGATTCGTAGGTCCATTTCGGCCAAAAGCGACAACCGATTTCTCTTGCTCTGTACTATCTTGAATTTAATTTTACGAATAGGGTGACAGTCTGCGAAACACCCTCCTTTAGCCCCAGTGAAAATTGGCTGAGATAGCTGCTGTCATGCACTTGAAAATTGTTTCTAGTCCCTACTTCACTACAATTTGGGCAGACGTTTTAACAATCAGGAAAGAAAAGTCAAGAAATAAGGATTTCTCCGGTTCCTCATTCCTTCTTAATTATTTATTCTTAATTATTATGCAATTCTTTTTAATAAATCCCTGAGGATAATTACTCTATTATTATTAGTATCAATTGTTTAACCCTGCCTAGTTAATTATCCCATCCATTGATTACTGTTTATAATGTATCAGACTTGTTTTTGTAATTATGGTTAAAGAAGAATTTAAAGATAAGTCCAGTTGTGGTTCAACATTGAACCAAATCAAAACAAGCTGTACCACTACACTTGTGGGTTGGCAAACAAGAGACTAAGGCATGGCAAGTCATAGACTTGGTATTATGAATAGAAACAGAATAGAGACGGTAGGGACCGGAGATAGCTGACTGACAGTAGATCTGTTGTACCAGAGACATGGTACATGTAGCAAATGGGTGGCCATAACACTCAGAGGCTTGCGCCTCGGATTAGTCACCCAGAAGCAGGTGAGGGCGAATAACGCCTCAAGTAGGACAGATGTGGTGGCAGGGATCAAGTGAAATAGATGAACAAGGGGAAGAGCAGACGGATTTTACGGAGCAAGCGATAGACTGGGATAAGACTGAGAAAGAGGACGGGATAATAATAAAGCAGACTCTGATCAACATTCCCTGCAAAAGGATGAAGGGGGGGGTGATAAGGACAGTTGGAGTGTGAAGGTGCCATGTCGCTCAAAAGGGCACACCACACTATATCAAAATAAACATGGTAAAATTGTAATAGTGAATGCATGATAGGATGCTACCGGAAACGCGAATAACCCAGGGCAGAAGGGGAGATACCACAATTATTTAGCACACGTTTGGTCAAAGGATAGGCTTCACTTTCTCTTTGACGAATTGTTGTATGGCGATACTCACTGACGATGCCGGCGAAACGTTTAGGAATGTACCACGTCCACGGTTCAACTTAGGAAATGATCATGCATACAATGGACCTCGGACTAGGTGCGTTCCTCTAAGTCTTCCTACCAATATGACCAAG